GACGGATCCTGATCCTGATCCAATTCTGGAACCGGGTCACTGAGTTCTGGTCCACAGAACCATCTCTGAACAATTCAGATCCACACAGAGTCCAGTTTCTGGTTCTGAGTGGAGACAGAGGAGGGACTACTTTCTGCAGTGGAGGAATCCACATCATGACATGTTGGTGCTTCTAAAACTAAAATGGATCCGGGTTCGGGTTCAGGTTCTGTACAGGTTCTGGGAGGTCCAGAACATGGATTTATCTGATCTGGGTCGGCGGAACCAGCAGGATGGATCAGAACGCATCTAAAATTCTGATCGGGACGTAACAGCTCCACACCGAACTGGACCGAACCCGAACAACCAGAACCGGAAACCAGATCCGAACCGGTTCTGCTCTGAGAGTTCTGGGTTTCCAGTTCGGAACAAAGTCCAGCTAAATCCGCCTGACTGGCTTCAGTTTCACTTTCCTCAGACTAACCTGAACTTTCAGGGGAAACTCCTTCAGAACCGAACCGAACCGACGGAAACGCAGTCAAACCCAGCAGAACCGAGCCTCCCCCCCTGATCAATCCGAACCTGATCACCCGAGCAGCCGCGCACGCCTCGTGTTCACCATGGCAGACAGACGGAACCGGTCCGGGTTCGGGTCCAGACTTACGGGTCACTCACCTGTTTGTTCCGGGAGCTGCGCGGAGAGAAGCGGGTTCTGTGCGGGTTCTGTGCGGGACTCTGCGGTTCGGACTCTCTGACCTGCGGGTCGAAGTGAACAACGAGGCAGCAGCGACTGTTGAGACCGAGAGAGGAGGCGGACTGGCGGGGTGGGGGGAACCCCTCCCCCCGGTGTGCTGCCACCCTGCGGCCGGCAGAGGAACTGCCGGATCAAGAAAACAAAGTCATTTTATATTTGATCAGCTGTTTACTGAGTAAAGTTTAATAATTTGAGGCTTAAACGTTAAAGTTCAGAGGCGGTCCACAGAGGTGGCCACAGGGGGGGCCACGCCCTCACCAAATGAAGCCTCCAGGTCAACTGGAGAAAAATCTAGAAACTATTAATCACTGACATATTTTAAAATAAGTAATATTTCAATAAATAAAATTATTATATTTAAATAAATAAATATTTAAATAAATAAAAATTATATTTAAATAAATCATTTTAAAATAAATAAATAAATATTTCTCAGTTGGACATTAGTCCGGGTCCTGGGGGTTGGTGTTCACTCTGGCATCAAATATCTTAACCGTTTTTCTCCTTAAAGTTATTTTTCAAAAGTATTCACACTGTTTTCCATTTCTCTGATTTTGTTGTTGTTGTTTTTGTTTTGTTTTTACAAATAAAATCAGAAAACGTGTGCTGCACATTTCTAATCAGAGCCTAAAAACATGTAGTGCATCAAAACTTCCTCTGAAGTCACTTAGCTAACCAGAGCACACAGGTTCTGGTTCTGACCTCAGACGTTCTGTAAAGAAACTCCAGCAACATGGAGGAACAAGCAGTGGGTCTGGGGATTCTGGATCTGGCTCCAGCAGGACAACCAGCCTGAACTTACAGCCAAAGATATTATGGGATAGTTTCGCTCAAAGCATGGCCTAGTCAAAGCCTGGACCTGATAGAGCTGTCGTTCTCAGATGTTTTTCATCCAACCTGACTGAACTGGAGAAGTTTTTAAGTCTGCAGACGTTCTCTAAAGTCCTGACTCAGGTGGAAACAGAAGCACACCACACTTTTCAGATTTAAAATAAATCTGAAATAATTTTTTTCTGTTTTTCACAGAAATTCTGAGAGAAAGTTTGAGTTTGAAACGAAACAAAATGTGGGAAAGATGAAGAGGTGCGAAAACTTTTAGAAAGCTCAGAAACCATCGATAGGATGACGGTTCTGTTTCCGGTTCTTTTTACCGAAAACCGAACCGAACCAGATAGCTAATCTGTTAAATTCACTATAACCTCGAACCGATCATCAAATTATTCAGCTGAGATTAGCCAAAATGGAGTCTGAAAAAGTTCTGCTGACGTCACAGCAGCCCAGATCCGCGGTTCTACTGGGCTGATGGTGGTGGTTCGGTTCTGTTGGACCGCTCCGGGTGAGGTCAGCTCGGTCTGCAGAACACAAAGCCTCTTCTCAGACCCGCCAGCCGTCCTGCAGCTTACGTCACCGTGACCTCACTGACTCACAAAGAACAGCTGATCCGGCCAGTCCTGGGTTTTGTTCAAGTCCAGAACCTAACCAGAACCCACCTGGACGGGTCGGAACCACCTTCGGGTCGACTGGCCCGGAGATGGTTCCGACCCCACCGGTTCTGCTGAGCGGATCTGGACCGGTATCATTACTGCTGCCACCTGGAAGCGTAATCTGGTCCAAATAGATCAGAACCAGAATAGAAAACAAGATAAACAATAAAATATAAAAACTAAATTGAAATAGAATCTAAAATCTGTAATAATCTGATAAACTATGTTGAGTTGACCTGCCTGGACGGGCGCTGCTGCCCCCTGCTGGCCTGGTTCTGCTGCTGGTTCGGACCTTCGTCTGTTCCTAATGTTTCCTCCTCTGCAGGACCCAGGCGGTGGACCTGATTTGGATAATCGGTCCGCTGCAGAACCATCGCGGCTAAAAGCCCAGATCACCATGCTGCCACCACCATGTTTGGCTGTTGGCATGTTTTTGCTTTCAATATTTGAAGTTTTTATTTTGAGACATTTTTTATTATTTTAGTTTATGTCTATTTGTAAGATATTTTGTTTGAAAATATGTTTAAAGTTTTTATATTTTTAAGTTTAAATTGTTTGACATTCAATTTTTTTCTTTTAAATATTTAGGCATTCTTTTTTAATTGCTCAATATAAAGTTTAACATATTCAGTTTCATTTTATCTAAATTTAACTTTTTGAAATTTTTTAAAATTTTTATTAATACACATTTAGTTTTAAAAATGTCAAAATAAAGTTTACTACATAGTCTTTTTTATTTTAAATGTTTTAAACCTTTGTTTCTTTTATTTTCTGCTTCAGACACTGTTAGTTTTGCAGCTGATGGATCGGGATGCAAACTTTCCAGAAACTTCAATTTTGTCTAATCAGTTCACTAAACTTGTTGGAAATAAAGAACAGTGAGTACACAAGGTGATTGACAGCACTAAGCCCCTCCTTCTACCTCTGAAAAGTATTCACACCCATTAGTTTTAAATTGTGAACTAAGAAAACCAGATAAAAACATGGAACCGACCCACCAGAACCAACGACCCACCAGTGGGTCGGCTGCAGTGGCGCCCCCAAGGGGGGGGCGGCAGGGGGCCATGGTTACCAGGTCATAGAAAGGCCGACAGAATCAACTTTAAGACATAAAAGGGAAAACCTAAATAAATCAAATTGATTAAATTAAAATTGTAAAAAATATAAGTGACATTTTTATTTTTGACTTGTTAAAATTCATCGGCCTCGTCTGGGCATCTGCTCGGTTAAGGTCAGAGGTCATTTAACGTGATGTTTGGATGTTTTTCTCAGTCAGGGTGCGAATACTTTATCCAGATGCTGCGTTTGGATTCGACCCGACCCGGAAAACTTTGCACAGAAACAAGTTCAGAAACAAGAGTCACAAAGAAACTTTATATAGTTTTCAAGTATTCAAAACTGTTAAATAAGTACAAGATGTGTTCACATGATTTACATATTGGACAATATCTGCCTGCTTTAGTTCTGCTAGCGCTCGGCAACGCTCCGCCCTCCACCTCTGGCCGCTGGAAGCTGGCGGCTGCACCTGGAAGAGTTTATAGTGAGAGAGGAGGGAGACGGCTGATTGGCCAACGGGGGCGGGACAAGACGCTGATTGGCTGCTGGTGATGTGAACGGTAACACAGAAACGGGTCGACGTTCCCAGCTGATCCCGCTCAGACAGCCGGAGGAGGAAGGCGGCGACAACCAATCAGGGATCAGGGATCTCTGAGCTGACCTCAGAGGAGGACGAGGTCTTCCTCACAGAAGCTGAAGACAACTTCCTGTAAACAAACAAACACTTCCTGCCGCCGTCCTCCTGCGACTCCGAACAGGAAGTCTGAGTAGCACCACAGAAGAAGAGAGACAGGCTGTAGTGTCAGCGACGCCGAGAATCATGGGAAACTGGGAGAGGAGCGGGAAAACTCAGCTGGGGGGAAGAGGTCAGAGGTCCTTCTGTACATCAGCTTCAGGTCGGAGCGTCAGCCCAGCCGGATTCTGCTGCCAAGTTCTGGTTCCGGTTCTGCTGTGACGCGAGGAGGAAGAGGAGGCCTGTGCTTTAATTCTGAAAGGCTGCAGAGCCGAGCAGCTTTCCTGCAGGGAATACCATCAGATTCTGGGTCAGGGAACCGGGCCGGAATCCGATTCCCAATCTGGGATTAAAAATCTGGAATACCGTTTGGAAATCAGAACCACAGGCAGAACCAGGTCGAGTTTATCCTGGTTGGGTATAAATGTTTGTTGATTCAAACCAGGAATCCACATTTACTGTTCCAGAGTTTTCTAAACTCACAATTCCAGGATTTGTTTTTCCCAGGGTTAGAATCACTTTGACTCGATTTTCCAAGAAAAAGCAAAATTGTTGTAAATAAATGTGGAAAACATTTGTGTTTCCAGAAACTTCTCTGGAAACAACAGATCTGAAATGAAGCTGATCCAGAGGGAACTGGATCCGTTCCAGAATAAACATTTCAACTTGGAAGTAAAAAAGAAGCGGAAAGGAAGAAAGATTTGGGAATGTGAGTTTGGAAAAGCCTGAGGTGCTTTCTGGTCCGAAACGTATGTCAGGATATCGGATCTGAACTTCAACCATCAGTTTTAAAAATGAAAACTGAAACCCAGATTCCTGATCTGCTTGGAAAAATGATCCAGAATAATGGAAAAATGAAGATGGATACGCTGTTTCTATTTTTATCTGGAAAATCTTATTTTTCCAGGCTGAAGCTGTTAGAATCAATTCTGCTCCTCTTAAAGGGACAGCACAGCTTTTTGGGAAACTGACTCCATATTGTTTTTTTTTTAAAATATTAGCTTATTGTGACGTTTTCCTGAAGATCCGGACGGTTTTTTATGATGGTATTCCAGAAATCAGGAAGAATCAGCAGCTCTGTTTGGACTCAGCCTGCCCTAACGCTGTGATTCATTCAGGAACATGATTGGCTGTGGCGTTCTGGCTGCCGATTGGTGGACGCCCAGCAAAGCCGGCAGCAGAACCGGAAGCGGACCTGGCGGCGGAGCGGTTCTAATGCCTCTGGATAAACGGCTCTGAGCGCAGACACAGAGTAAAAACCTGCCTGGAGACAGAAGCCATGATCTGTACACTTTCTACACGTCCATGATGAAACAACAAGTGCATTCTCTTAAAGGAACAGTACAACTCAAAACAAAGCCCGTTTCCACTGGAGACTCGGCCGGATCCTGGACCGGATCCGGTCCGACTGGAAGTTCAGCGGAGAGCAGAGCTTTGCCGCGGGTCAACAGCACCCGGGCCGCTCCGGGATGATCCGAGTTCCACGTCACTTCCTGTCCATCGTCAGCGACGGCGGTATTTACAGAAGCTTCAGGCGTTGAGTCGCAGAGACTGGTCCTCCCTCCTCCTGGAGGAGATATCGATGTCGATGGAGTCTTTCCCCACGATCAACCGCAGACGCTTCGCCGGAGGAAGTGGAATGAAGTCATCCTCAAAGTCGTTGTGGAAGTAGTCGTCATCTTCCTCCTCCTCCTCCTCCTCCTCCTCATCGTCCTCGTCAGAGGAAGGGTCGGCCAGGACCTTCTGGGTGCGATGGCCGCCGCCGGCTGCGTCCCCGTTGGCCTGGAGCCGCCGGGCGTCGTCCTCCTTCCTCAGCTGGATTTTCAGCTTGGTGGCGTTGCCATGGACGACGGGCGCAAAGCCGTTGTTGAGCTTGGCGATGTAGGAGCCGGCCTTGTCCTTGTCGTGCTCCTTGCTGAACTTGATGCTGATCTTGCTAGAGGAAGTGGGGCTGAGCGTGGATGAGGCCACGGCATCGGCGCCGTCAGCCGTCTTGCTGCTGCTGCTGTCCCTCCGCCGGCGGAGCGTCAGCTTGGGAATGCCGCCGCTGTTCTCCAGAATTAGCTGCGCGTCGTAGCGCGTGATGCGCCGCTTCTTCTTGGCCTTGTCCTGCGAGCGGCAGCTGCTCTTGCTCTTATCGCGGCGGAGGGATTTGCTGCCGTTGGCCACGCCGTTGTAGTCCCGGTGTCTGTCGGCGAAGCTCAGCAGCACGTTCCCGCCATCACGCCCCGCAGCAAACGGCTCGCAGTCAGAGCCTTCGCATTTGATGGTCCGCTCAGTCCGGAGTCGGGACGGTCGCTTCCGGCCCGAACACGAGCTCCTCCGGCCGTAGCCGCCGCCTAGCACCGGCGGCTGCGTCACGCCGCCGCCGTGCTGCAGGTACTCGTCCATGTCCGCCGGCTCCGTTTTGATGACCACGCCGCCCGGTACCGGGCTGAGCCCGTCCATAGCGCCGGGCTCCAGCTTGGCACCTGGCATGGGCTCCGGGGCCTTCAGGGTCCGCGTGGACCTGCGAGTCCTGTAGGCGGAGCCGCAGCCACCTTCGGGAAGGCCGCCGTTCTCTTTGGCGGCATGTCGGGTCAGGCAGCCCCTCGGGCCAAGCGGTGCCACCTCCGGACCGTCCTTCTCCTTCTTCACGGTGACGACGCTCTTACACGGCAACACCTTGGAGTCCCTGAGGCCCAGCGGGGCGGCGTCTGCGCGGGCCGCCGCCGTTGTCCGCCTGCGGCTGCGCAGCCGCACCTTGCTGGGAGGCTTGGACTGGGAGCGAAGTCTCTTTGGTTCCCTGCTGCTGTTTCCTGGAGCCGGTTTGGAACATGAGGTAGAGACGGCTCGGGACACAGTCTGTCTGCTCGGGGTCCGGGTCCGGTACTTCAGGCCCGGTGATGAAGACGATGAAGATGAAGTTCTGGTTCTGGCAGCTGCAGGGAAACAGAGACAGTGACCTCACAGTTACACAGGAAATAAAAGCTATATAAAACATTATTTTTTATTTAGTTTCTACATAATTTTAAGATATATGTTACTATGCATTAGATAGAAATACATTCAAAATGTATATTAAAAATAACAAACAATCACTCAACTTTATTCATACCACTATTGTTACAGTGAATGTGTAGTTTTATTACATAAAAAAAATTAAAAAGTAAAACAAATATTAAAGAGAAAGGTTATATTTCTTTTAAAAATTTTAAAATAATGTGACTTGTAAAAAAAAAAAAGANATATAAAANTAAATTAATATCACAAAACTTATTACAAATAAAATATCTATAAAAAGTTAAATTCTTAGGAAATTCATAAAAATTCAAACATATATTAAAATATCTTAAATGTCAAAAGACTAATAAAAATATAGCAACACGTATACAATTAACTGACAAATTAAAGATACAAATATAAAATGAAGTACAAAAAATTATATATATTTCATAAATATACAGTGACAACCAGGAAGCAGAGAATGCAAATCTAAAAAATGTACATAAAATTACAAATATATAATTTAACAAAGAAAAAATATGAAACATAATAAAAGCTAAAGACAACAAAATCAATAAAACCTAAGAACTGATGTAACGCCTCCTGTCTGCAGATTCCAATCAATATTCTGATATTACTGATCCGTGGTGACTGGCAGCCTTACATTGATGTGTTTTTGGCATTTCCTGAGAGTCGACGTCGGTGTGGGATCCCACAGAGTGGCTGTCCGAGCTCCTGTTCCCTTCTCCGAGTTTCTTCAGCCGGTTGAGCCGCTTGTCCGTCTCCCGCAGCCCGTACTTGCTGTTGATGACCGGAACCTCCACCGGCAGCCCAGCTTTGGATTTGAAAGCACCGGTTCCCCGTCTGAACAGAACCGGAACAGAAACATGGTCAGCTCAAACTGTGACTGAAAATCATGAAGTTTAGGATTTAACTGGAATGTGTTTCTGTTCTGACTGCAGCCAGACCTTCAGAGGAGTTTTTAATCCAGCCCATGTTTTAAGGTCCAGACGGTGCTGCTCACCTTTCACACGTATAACATTCACAAAACTCATTGCTTTCCCCAAAGAAGCCGTCTCCATAGTAACAGGAGATCTCCTCCCCGGGCTCGATGTCCCTCAGGACCTTGACGCAGGCCGTGTCTCGGCCCGTCGACACAAACTGCAAACACAGAACCTGTCAGGACCGCTTCCAACGGCCCGGCAGCCAATCAGGAGCGGCCAGCAGCCTACCTTACAGTTCGGCCGGCAGTCTGAGGAAGAGGAGCAGAAGTTAGAGGGAGCAGCAGCAGCAAGGGGATCAGAGGAGGAGGCGGGGCTTACCGTGGTTGATGAAGGCGGCCGGGCCGAGCCACAGCTGGGCGCAGTTCTTCCTGGTGGAGTACATGACGCTGAAGTCGTTCTCTCCGTGGCGCAGCAGCATGTTCTCCTCGCTCTCCGACAGCTCGGCGATGCAGCCCACCAGGAACTCGATCTTATCGTTCCTCTTCCTACGAGACAGCAACAGAGGAGAGGCTCATCAACCTGGCCTCCATCAGCGCTGAATCGGGCCGTCTGCACGAAGGCGGGCCGGCTGCACTAAGGCGGGCCGGCTGCACGAAGGCGGGCCGTCTGCACGAAGGCGGGCCGGCTGCACGAAGGCGGGCCGGCTGCACGAAGGCGGGCCGTCTGCACGGCAACAGAACAGTTCTTCCTTACAGCGCTGCAACGATTTACTGATGAAGGCTGCAATGACCCATCCATGCAGCAACAGAGCAATTCATCAAAGCAGCAGCATCATGGAAACGGCTGCAGTTTGACGAATCAAAGGAACCTTCAGAAGAATCAGTGGATCCCGTCCAGATCCAGTCCAGATCCAGTCCGGGTCCCTGGAGGAAGTAGCAACAGGATGATCTCACCATTCCTTCGTAGCCACGATTTTGGCTCCGTTCTGCTCCGATGAATAGCGATTACAGGGCAGAATCTCGAAGCCGCTGTCTGCCGTGAATATCCGCAGGTAGACAAACACCTGGAGGGAGCAGAGAGTTAGAGCTGGGAGGAAGAGGCGACGCGTCGAACGAGAGGCGGAGCGCTGCGGCGGCGTTTACGTGCTGCTTGAAGAGCTTCTCCTGAGCCTTGGACTTGTGCAGGAACAGGTTCCGGCACCAGTCTCCCGTCGTCAGCGCCTTGTAGGCCTTCTCCATGTTGTCGTGTTTCTTAAAGCGCTCGATGATTTCCTTCAGCTCCTCCTGCCGTCCTTTGATTGGCCGGAATCTGGTAGGAGGAGTTTCAAAAGAGCGATGTGATGTCACCAGAGGAAACGTGATGCGGACCGAAGAGGAAAAAAACGTACAGTTTTATCTAAAATATTATGGTAATAAAAATAATATATTAAAATCAATAAAAATATAACAGTAAAGAGATAAAGATATTAAAATATGTAGTACAATAGAATATAAAAATTATCAAATTACATAAAAAACATTAACAAAAAAATTACATAAAAAATTTTAATATAAAAATAGGAATAGGAAGAAAAAAATTACAAATAAAAGATTTTGATGAATTAATTTTTTGGAAATATAAAGATTAAAACACATACTAAAGAAGGTTAAATATAAAAAGTAAAAGAATATAAAATTACACAAAATCATATATATATATATATATATATATAACTAATAATTACAAATAAATAAAAAAAATACAAAAATAATGATGTCTAAAATATTTTATAAATATAGAATAAAATTAGGAAGCAGACAATACAAGTAATAAAAAAGATTGAAAAAAATAAGATTCAAGCAATTATAAAGAAAAAAATTAAATGTATTGTAAAAGATAAAAATCATAAAATGGGTAAACGGACCTGGTGTTCATCTTGTGTGTCTGGAAGCCCAGGTAGGGGTCCAGGATGAGGCTGGTGGTCAGGTCATCGTTCTCACACAGCTCCTTGGCGGTCATCCCTGACGACGGCACGTAGCGCCGCTCCGCCTCCAGGCTGGCGCCATTACACCCTGCAGGAACCACAGAGCTGCGTCAGCCTCCGGATCGTACAGCCGGCGGCGCGCCTGGCTGCGCTCTCAACTCACTGCGGCTGCATCTGCGGCTGCGCGGGTGACTCCTGCTGTGGCGCAGCGATGTCCGCTGCGGTTGCTGGGAGCGAGTCTGGCTCACCGGTTGATCACTGCTGGTCAACTTGTTCCCGTGGCGTCTGCCATTTAATACCATGTTCTTGGATTCGCCCAGCCACTTCATGCCCACAAGCCCCCTGCTCCAGTTTCATTTAGTCGCTCAGATGAAGGTGCTCGAGTGGGGAAGACCGGCCTGGTTAGAAACCTGCAAACAGAGCAGAAAACAGGTGAAAAACCCACAATCTGATTGGATAAGCGGTGAGCAAACCTTCCCCAGGGAGAAAAACACATCAAGCTTCTGCAACATTATTTACTCTTTACTGAATTATAAGTTGAAAAAGTTTTTTTCCCCCATTTCTTGTAAATGAACGTTTCCAAATACGTAAAAAAAAGCTATATTAGCTGACAAATTTATCAAGTCAAATATTCCAGACTTTCATGGTGGTTTTAAATGGCCCCACTGCGCCTCCTAGCGGTAACTCCAAACACTGCACCCTGCCAGCAGCGCTGTCCTCTGAAGTTGCTTCTGAGCTCTGAGGGACTCCACCTGGAGGTCTGCTGGGGTTTCTGGCGCCAAGCCATCAGCAGCAGACGAAGAACTGGTCAGAATGGTGAATGACTGGCTGCTGCTGTCCAAACCTCCCCCTGGATGAGGAACACGGACCCTATCGTACATGATCCATCACACTGCCCGTCAGTGTGGGGTGGTGGACATAGGGTAACAAACTTGGACCGGGTCCTGAATCGTTCCATCAGAATCAGCGGGAAGTTCTGCAGCAGAAGCGTGGCTGGATCAGAGCAACATGGCCCAGCCTGGTCAACGGTTCTCCACACATTTCAGTTAACAACAAACAAAACAGCTTAATCAGAACAATAACTACACAAACAAAACAGCAGCTAATAATAGACTACTCTCATTTTATTTATTTTTATACCTCTTTCACCTTTATGGTATGATTCAGAAATATCCTTAGACATGATTTGTCAGATTACTGAATTGCTCTATTATTTCATCCACTGGGTTATTTGAACCAACCTGGAATTATTTATTCATGTTCATACAGTCATGTTCAATGACAATAAAAACTATTTTAGTGTACAGTATATTGATGCCAGGTGAAAATGTTGACATTGTCAATGGTCACAATGTTATGATAATTTTAAGTGGTCTCGCAGCGCCCCTAAGTGGTAACCTCAAGCACTGCAGCAGCTGTCAGGTGAACGGTCCTTTTTACTGTAATTTACCATTTGAATCCCGATTTTTAAGGCTTAAATGGCCGAATAGTCAAAATTTTCGTATTTCAATCACGTATAAGGTAGGATAGTTGTGTAATCGGTCATCTAAGCATTGAGTGCTTCGTGTTATTAGCTGTCAAGGCTAACGTTAGCACCAAACAAACAGCATTCCGATCAGGATAATGAGGCTGTGGGAACCCGGAAGGCCACGCCGACGGCTGAGGCCGACTGTGTTGACATGCTGCGCTGGTGTCGAACCAGCAACCGTCAGAACCACAGCCAAAAATGTAACCCTGGGGCCGACTAAGCCGGGCCGGCGTGACAGCACAACACAGCCGCTGCAGTCCCATAAACAGCCCCATAATTCCCCGCTGAGCATCCCGGCTGCTCACCAAACCCACCCCGGTCCAGTCTGGGAACACCGGTTTAAAGAACCGTGGTCCCCGCACTCTGCTAGCTACAACCTCAGCAGAATGCTAAGCGAGCTTAACAGAAGAAGATCTCAGTTAAGCTTTATTGTTTATTTCCAAACAATAAAGCGATACACATTTAATCCAGACTGGAAGCTGGGCTCTTCTGGGTGTTCGGAACCGAACAAAAACTGAGCTATGTCCCGGCGGAGCTCGACTGTTTCCGGACACCGACACTCACTGCTTTCGCTCCGGCTGCCCCGTTAGCGTTAGCTCTGCTGGCTAATTTTCTCCCTGCCAGGAGGGTTAACGGCAGCCTGCAGCCGAGAAGATCGAGCCTCCAGCGGTCGCAAGAGGCTGCGAGAGTCCCGGAACGATTATCCCTCACGAGAGCTTTCCACACGTTTAAATGCCCACGACACGAACAATACTCACAATATTACGGATTGAGAAACAAAACAGCGGTCCTAATCCAGATCCGTTACAAGACCCAGGAAGAAATATCACAGCAAACACATTATTGTTGTTTTTCTCTGGAAATTAACATTAAAATTCAAGATGGCGGCCTGGCACAGGCGAGAGGGAGCCGCATCACAGCCCTCCGACAGAAAATAGATCCCTGAAATACGCCAGCAGTTCCGTCGGATCCACGCCGAAACGAGACACTGCGCGTGAATCGGCCTGAGTAAAACACGGGGAGTGGACACCGTGGAACATTTTTTCTCTCATCTGTCATATTGAAGGGAAATTAAATATGTTTAATTATATTTTTATATCCTGTCGGATGCACACACAAAAGTAGTGCTGCATAAACAAACATCTTTACGCACCAGAGTTCAGAGATGGTGAGTGTTCGGTTCTGACAGGAGAACCGCAGCCGAACCCGACCAGAAAAAACGAAGTTCGGTCCAAAAACATTTATAGAGTTTCACATATGCTTCACGCTCACTTCCGCTGATACGGGGGCGCTGCGGGTCGGTAGAGCATTTCCTCCAGCAAGCAGCTAATCTGTTAATATTTAATTTTTAAAAAGTAATCATTTGATTTGGATCATTTTAATGCAATCTTATTAGTTACCCGCACTTCAGTGTGTTTCTTGCTACTTTATCTTATTTTGTTGAACTATTTCTATTTGATTGATAACTACGTTCATATATATCGCTAACTTTAACCACATTTTTATTTTGTACTCGTATTTAATTTCATCACAGGAACTTCAGCAACATGTTTATTTCCTATTTGAAATACATTTTAATATATATTATTTTTTAAATTGTTCAGATTTTTTATTTCAACTACTTTACTATTGTGTGCTTCTTTTGATTTATCAATTTAAATTAAATTATTCAGAGCGTATTTTAAATTTAGCTGTTGTGTTTTTATACCTCTTGTCCACTGGATTGAAAATACTCTAGCACTCAGAACAAACTGAAAATGTTGTTATAATTTTATTTATTTACATTTAGTTTAAAATTTAATAATGTCAAACTTCATAACAATCTTAGGAGAGTCTGGTAACACTGCAATTTTAAATGTGGGTAGAGTTGAGAAGGAAAAAATATCCTAATAGAATGATTTATTATGAAGTTAAGTCAGAGCCGGACTGAGGTTATACAGGAAACTGTGCAGAATTTGATTTGAAAGCCCCCTCCCAGTTAATTGGTAATGTTATCATAACTCTTAGAGTTTTTATTCTGTGAAGAGATTGGATTTTCCAGGAGGCTGAAGTGAGCAGCTGATCGGACCAATCCGCTCTGGATCTAAGCTAACTTCAGCAACATTGTGCATAACCAGAAACATGAGAGGAATCACTCTCTGAGAACAAGAAGAAATCTTCAACAGAACCAGAACGACTGTCTGCTGGGATCAGGAGAAGCACTGAGTTTCTTCAATGAAAAGAAAAACAGAGACAACTCAAAGTTGATGACAGCAGTAACACTGCTTTCAACGAAAGGTACCTCTTTAAAATCCTTCACTGTTAGGGTTTCGTATAATCGCCTGAGACTATTAGGTTATTTTAACAAATCAAGGTTATTTTGCTATAAAAGAACCTGAATAAAATTCCTGAAAGTCATTTTTGGCAGGAGTGTCCCAAGTGTGGCCCGTGGGCCTCTTGCGTTCCTCTGAAGGATTTTGGGCGGCCCAAATGAAGCAAGTCTGGCCTGCAAGTTTAGGTGGTAGATGCAGATGGAAACGTTTTCAGCATATTTTACAGCTAAACATCATATTGTTAAGAAAATATTAGGGACAGAAATGTAGATTCACATTTTAACAAAGTTTTTGCATTTATCTAGAAACATAAACATTGACCTACTTTTTATCAGTAGCAAATATTACTTAATATGTAAAGAAAACAACCCAAAAAATGAAGAAACTGTGGGCTTTCTTTATGTTTTGTGTCTACAATCATTTACATGTCTATTTTCTCCAAAAATCCAAATATAACATTTAAATTACTCAGTTTATTATCAAGCAGCTAAAATGAAAAAGGCACCAAAAGTTTGTTTTAAAAATGTTATTAATATTTTACCAACTTTGGCCCTCGTGACAAAAAGTTTGGACAGCTCTGAGTTATGGCCTTTGTTTGTCAACCCAAGATTATCATCAGGCTTTCTCCCATCCCTACAACAAAGCTATAAAGATAAAGTTTTAATATTCTACTTGTTGTCTGTTTAGTGAAGCATCTGAAAGTCGCTGCAGTGATATTTTCTGACATGTTGTTCCGGCTGCAGATCAGAGGAACATAGAGGAGTCCAGGAACCTTGACGTTTATCCTGGAGCGCTGCCCAGAATCAGCCCCAGGAACCTGAACTGTGTGGGCGTTAAGACTCCACAGCGGGATTTCAGTGATTTCACCATGTTTTCAGGCATGTGGGCTGCATCATGTGTGAAGAAGCAGCTGTCATAGAAACAACCTAAATACCTTCTCCCCTGACAGACCTTTGACCTTCTCTTGTCTGATGAAGATGATGCTGGAAGCTGAGCTCCAAAAAACATCATTGAACATTATGTTTAATATGTATTTGGTCTGGGCTCAAGAAAAGCATTGAAAAGGAGCAAATACGACAGTTAAAAATCTTCACTCTATTTATAATAGATTTAATCAGATTTACTAGAGTTTAATTAAATGTTGGTATATTTATTTAATATAACATCTATTTTTGTTTTTAATTTAATCCAATCATTTTTATTTTAACATGTTTATTTTGTTGCAAATCTATTAAACTTAATTTAGTTTTTAGACTATTATTTTAGATATTTGATTGTTACTTTAATTTCTTTATCTTAATTTAATGCATTTAATTTTGTTTTAGTACATTATGATATATTCAAATTTTCTGTATTTTGATGGTGGCTACTTGTATCTTAGTATTTATTTAGTATAATTTGGTGTAAACGATTTTCTTTGTGATTAACTGAATTTACAGAAAATATTTGAACTTTTTTTAGTCTAATAAATCTTTATTATTTCTGTAACTTTTTAATCTTAGAATATTTTTAATTATATGGGCATACCTACATTTATTTTCATGGTATTGTATTTTGAAATATTTATCATTAGGTTGATAATTATATTTAGGATTTGTTATTTACGTACATATTTTACTTTTGTATGTCATATTTATAGAATTTAATTTAAATTCATTTCATTACTGCAGTTGAACTTAGACATACTCAACGGAATTGTTGGGTTGGATAATTTGATTTCATTCAATGTTATTTTAATGCATTTTTGTTTTCTAATTAGATAGTTTTCAGCAAGATCACTGAATACATTTTTACGTTAGTGTATTTAATTTTATTTAAGTATAAATTAATTTAGTTTCATCTTATTGCCTGTTATATTTACTTAAAATAATTTGCTTATTCAATTACTGTTTTATTTGAACAGCGAGTATGTAAATTGTTTTACTAAAACATTTTTTTCACTGACTTGAGTAATTTTTCTATTTTAGTTTTAGTTTTTTTACACCTGCGGAAATACGTCACGCTTACGTCAGCGGTCGAAGTTGAATCGTTGACGCAGGCGGGCTCGTGGTGGCTGGAGGATTCGCGGGAAACGTCTAAAATCAAACCTGCGGCGCGTGAAGGAGCGTGGCTCGGCTTCTCCTTGAACCGCACGCGGCTCCCGGTCAGAGAGCGGCGGCTACCGTGCGCGCGCTGGTACGTAGCAGCTTCGCGGCGGCGGCGGAGGGAGAAGGAGGGGGGACGGAGCGGAAGAAATGGCGGAGCGGCCAGAGGACCTGAACCTTCCCAACGCGGTGATCACCCGCATCATCAAGGAGGCGGTGAGTGGGAGCCGAGCACCGGGACGAGGAGGAGAGGTTTCTCGCAGGTTAGGCAGGCCGGCCTTCGTGACGGGAGAGCGGGTTTATTTCCAGAACGGTCCCGGTTCTGGTCAGTTTTGGTTCGGGTTGTTTTCTAACATGACCACAACCAAAACTCTGTTCTCTGCCAGAGAACCGAGAAGCTCCGCTGCTTGATTTCATCTCATGAAATTAAAAATTTATATAACCCAACAGGTTTTACCTGGGGTCAGAGGTCACAGATCTATAAAGTTCAAATTCAGAGATAATTTGATAGTTTAACCTCCAGTAAAAAGTAATTGATTTGAGTTAAAGTAAAAAACTGTAATTATGTCAAAGGCAAATTAAATGCTGTCATAACTCAGCAGTGCTGGTTTTCAGCAGTTGCTGAATATCTGCTCTGATTATGGGTTGAGATTTGATGTGCAGTATAATACTAAGAAAACTGTTGTACTAATATGTAGGACTAGAGCAGACAAACACTCCGTTTCCCTGTTTTTTTTTTTTCTGTCAGGACAAAAGTTAAATGTTTGTTCCAAAACTAAATATCTGGGTCACTACATCACAGACCAGCTCTGTGATGATGATGACATTTATCGGCAGTGTCGCATGTTGTAACATTCTGGGGAGGAAGTTTCACATGTGCACTGATGAAGTAATAATAAGCCTGTTTAAAGCGTATTGTACATCCTTGTATGCAGCTCCTTTGTGGTGTAAATTTAAAAAAGCTAGCATGCAGAAGCTTAAGGTTGCTTATGACTCCCTGAGAATTCTGCTTAAGAAACGCAGGTTCAGCGGTTCAGGTTCAGGTTACAGATGTTCTGTAATGCACATGTCAGAACGTTTCAGACACTCATGACAAACTTGATATACAAGTTTATGCATCGTTTGTGCAGCTCATTGAACGTCTCATTGTAATGTTTTCACATCCCTCTGTCAGTGCGCTAAGATACCAGTCGACTCTGTGGAATCATTGGTATGAAAGTCTCTTATAAGATTTTATTTATTTATTTCTTTTATTTTGTGTTATGTCTTTGTGGACCACGAGTCTATTGAATAAAGCTTCTCTCTCTTTCTCTCATATCATTCAGTTATCTTCAAAGAGTCGATGTTGATTATGATGTAAGGATCTCCAGTAGCAGTCAGCCTTGCAATGAGTGTTTTAGGCTTCTGACTGAAGACTGCTGCCATCTAGCAGCCTCACAAGTGTTATGAAAACAGATCAATATCCACATTACTTCAACATTTGAGATGCTAACTCGCTGTGCCCAGTTGAAAACACCTTGTTGCCACGGTTACACATAACTACAGTCTGAAAGGTAAAAAAAAACAAACTAAAAAAAGGAGCTAAAGTAAATTCATAGCAAACAGCAAAAAAAAAACAATCAGAACCAGCAGAGCAGTTTCAACAGGCTGCCACCAGGAGGCGCTGTTCTGGAAAGCTCGATTTAAGTGATTTGGGTTTAATTTGAACCCTGTTCTGACAGCAGCCAGATTTCTGATCCGACCAGCATCTATAAACAGCTGCTGATTGGTATCAGACCTGGTAACGTGTAAACAGAACCAGTAGAAAGTGGCGACTGTAACCAGAGCTAGCAGCGATCCTATCCACAGTGAATCTCTGTTTTTATTGTTTTTTGGTTTTTGGACCAAATCAGTTCAGGTTTACGTGGTTCTGGACCAAAGCCCAAAATAATGCCTGTTTTAAACTCATTTCCTAGTCTGGTGACAGTTTTTTCTCTGTTTCATTTGAAAAATTAATTGATGGTAACTGGACAGGGACCAGTTAAAGCTCAGTGAGGATTTTCACACTAACACATTAACGTGCGAATGTTTTTCCTGCTGATGGGAGTGAAAAGAGCAGTTGTGAGCCAGCTTGTGTTTCCTGACCAGACGTGTGTTTAGTGATAACTCCTCCGCACCGTTTGTTCTTCGCAGCTCCCAGATGGGGTGAACGTGTCCAAAGAGGCCCGGCGCGCCATCTCCCAGGCGGCTAGCGTCTTCGTGCTGTATGCAACCTCCTGGTGGGTTTTTAACACGCTGCAGGGACCAGCGCTACGCTAGTCAAGCTAAACGTTTCTCTCCTGGTTTCAGCGCCAATAACTTCGCCATGAAGGCCAAGAGGAAGACGCTGAACGCAGGAGATGTGCTGGCAGCCATGGAGGAGATGGAGTTCGAGCGATTCCTGGAGCCGCTGCGGGACGCTCTGGAAGGTAAGGACACCTCCGCCTGCATCCCGACGCTTCCTCTCTGCTCTGAATCAGACAGTGCCGATAAGAATGATGCTCCAAAACATAGAAATACAAATGCAAAAGAAAAACGATTCGAACACAGGAAACGGAAGCAAAATGGAGAACACTGCAAACAAAAGAATGTCCTCCAGGCCACTGGGGGGAGTCTGGGTCTGAAACAGCACCTATATAAATATGCTACACAAAAATTATGGAACCACAGGAATGGAAGCAAAAGGGAAAACACTGCAAACTCATTCTCAAAATAGAATAGTCTGGGTCAGTAATATTACCTTTGTAAGCATGCTGCTGCTCTATAATATTGCAAACTATATGAAGTAACGCATCTGTTCTGTGTTCCTCCAACTGTCTGGTCTCTTGCCGTTTGGCTCCCCCTACTGGTCCGGAGAACTTTTTCAGTTTGCGGCGCTTTCCCGTTTGCTCTTACTTCCTGCAGTTGCTGCGTTTTTTTAAGTGTTTTGCATCAACTATGCGTTCGCCACCAAAGGATCATTGGTTCCTTCCCCTCTACTGTCCATCCTGCTTTGATTTCTTGTCCTTCCTTCACTGTCTCCGTCCTTTCCTAGTCTTTTCTTTGTCCTTCCTGTCTTCCATCCTTCTAGCCTTACGGTTTCCTCCCTTCCCTCCTTGTTTTGTCCTTTGTTTCTCTTCCTGTCCTGATGTTTAGACAAGAGACGATGGACCTACAGACCTACTAAGACTATGGTAGAGGCAGCATCATGCTGTGGGAATGAGGTCTGACCCGTCTGCTTTGTTCTCAGTATATAAGAAAGACCAGAGGGGGAGGAAGGAGGTGAGCGAACAGAAACGCAGAGACAAGGAGAGGAAGGCCGACTCTGAGAACGACAAGAGCAGAGAGGAAGAGGAGGAGGAAGAGGAGGAGCAGCAGCGCATGGAGGAGGAGCCTGAGGAGGAAGCTGAGGAAGAGGAGGAGGACAACTGACCCGCTCAGTTCTGATCCGGTTCAGCCTCTTCAAGCATTTTAACAGAAAAGCTTCAGCTGAACAGATCTCGGACTGGAGTCATTCTCCATTTTCTCCACATCTGTCAGGAATAAAACGTTAAAGGATCCGGACCACCAAGCTGGAGCGGTTCTGATGTTCTCCATGCGGGTCAGAATCATAGTTTATCAGTTTGTATTTTTGTAAACTTGTTTGACTGAAATCTTTCAATAAATGTTTTGTATAAAACTGAAACCAGGATGTTTTATTCCATTACAGGCTTAAAATGCAACAAGCATAGAACCTGCTCTCTGTAGAATAGTCAGGATTTTATTTTGAAAATATCCAAGCTTTTACTTTCAAGTAGCTTCATTGTAGTTTTAAACGTAAGTGAAAATTTTTAGGCTTTAATTCTGAATTTTTAAAAGGCCAAAGTAATCCTATGTGTAACTGAACTGCTCTGCAACATGAAGGCTTTTATTTTGGAGAGTACATTTAGGTATTCATTTAACTTCAGTTCTAGTGTATGGAGGACTGATGCTGCCAAAATTGACCAGAAAATAAATGGCATAATTCACCTTCTTCCCCTTGTGATTAAATGTTAGTATTTTATTTCCTCAATTCATCTGTTTTGACAGCATCAGTCCTCCATATAAAGAGACCAAATACATTTAGACATTCTTTATTGCTACAGCTATAAAAGCAGCTGCAGAGTCCAGCCAACAGTTACCAGCTGGCTCTTCACAGAACACTGAGCAGCATGAAACTAGAAAGTTCAGTGGAAGGAGAAAGTACTGTAGAAACAGGGATGACAATCCTTGAATATTGAACACCAGAGCAGATTTACGTACCTCACCGCCACCTCAGTTTTTCCTCCCACTCAACTACAGTCACTCTAAACTTCCTGGTTTAGTAAGACGTTCCCTTTTTTAAAACTTCAGCTAAGCACCAACAGGTTTTTATGAGTTTGATTTCTGCGTTTATTCACTGAAACGATTCTTTAAAGTTTAATCTCTGGTGCTGAAATTTATACTTCAGTGTTGGAGGCCCGGTTCAGAACCAGAACCAGGTAAATGGACCTTCTGAATATCACAGACAGAACCTTGCAGCTCGGTTTCAACAAATTTTATTCCAGAACCGCCATCTTTACTCTGATGGACATTCCACTTTCCCGCTGTTAATGTCATCGATGACATCATGAGGGGCGCGGCCGTCGATGGTGCAGCCAACTGACTGAGCAGTGCCCAGGATCTCCTTGATGGTTCCTGAGGAAAAACAGAACCACGAGTCCATCAGAACCCAACCCATCCAGAACCCAACCCAATCAGAACAGAGTTCTGGTTTGTTCCGGGCTTTTCGGCACAGAGCGGTCCACGGCGCGGGCCGCCCTGTTTCCTAAAGCCGGGTCGCTCTGAGCCTCCACTGGACTGAACTCGGCCATCGGGTCAGACCGGTCCAGTGGCAGGAGGCTGTGGGGGCGGGGCTAGAGCATGGGGGCGGGGCCTCACCTGAGAGCTCTCTGGCGATGGAGCGCGGCCTCATGACCCGGGCGACGCCAACGATCTCATCGAACGTGACGCTGCCGCTGTGTTTGACTGGAAGAAGCAGAAACAGAGTCAACATGGCGACCCAACAGGAAGTCCCTTCCTCCCCAACAGGAAGTCACTTACTGTTCTTGACCTTCTTCCTGTCGCGAGGCGGCTCCTTCAGAGCTTTGATGATCAGAGCAGAAGCCGAGGGAACCACTTCGATCTGCAGAGACAGAACCCGATCAGGACCAGCAGGTTTAATAACTGGATCGGCACCAGATCAAAACTGTTTCAGGTAAACGGGTCATCCAGAACCTTTTCTGACTCTTAAGACCAATCAGAAAGTCCCAGTTGGACCGAGATGATTCTGAGATAAGAAAAACCCGACAGGCTTTCTAAACAAACGGACCCGAGTGGGATTACACAGAACGCAGCCTAATCCCCGAAACCAGAACCGCTTCAGGTTCTGAAGCGGTTCTGGTTTAAAGTTCCAGAGATTTATGCTCTCTGGAACTTCAGCATCTGGCTCAAACTGATTCACTTATCGTTCTGGTATTGGCAGAGAAAAGGTTCTGGAGGGAAACCCGGCCGGGTTCTGTTGTGTTGGACGCACAGCGGCCTGCCGATTCTGGATGGTCAGCTTCACGGTGATCCTCAGGCCCTTCCAGTCTCCGGTTGCCTTGGCGATGTCGTCACCGACTTTCTTTGGAGACTGAGGAGGAGAAGAAAAGCGGACCGGGTTAAAACCCAACGGGCCAGGATGCGGTTCCATCAGAACCCGGTCCGGTTGGTGTTCCGGGCTTTTCGGCACAGAGCGGTCCACGGCGCGGGCCGCCCTGTTTCCTAAAGCCGGGTCGCTCTGAGCCTCCACTGGACTGAACTCGGCCATCGGGTCAGACCGGTCCAGTGGCGGGAGGCTGGGTCGGGCTCAATGGTTCTGAGTTCTGATACTCACCAGACCCAGAGGTCCGATTTTAGGAGCCAGAGCAGAGGTGGCGCCCACTTCCCCTCCTGTGCACCTCATGTAGACTGAAAGACAGGAAACGGAACCGAGTTGTAACAAACGGTCCAATACCGGGTCCAGCTGGTACGCAGAGAACAGAGGCAGTTGTTATGGTAACCATCTTTACTCAGACCAGGATAATGGATAAACATTACGCGTTTGGCATTAAAATGAAGGTTCTGGTTCTGAAGGAGGAGAATCTGTTCACAGCAAGTTAAATATTTACAGATCAGATCCATTTCTCAGCAATGATCAGTTTATGCAAATTAGAATATTTTCACCCAGATTAATGCATCATATTCACTAGACCTCATACTGGAGCCATCTACACTACAGACGGCCATGTTTGTTGGTCAGACACCGAAGGAAACGTCTTGATTCCTTCACTGATTAAACTGTTTCCCATTTTTGTTTCCATAGCAGAAACTTTAAATGTTGCATTTATTTCAAAATATGATTGAACAAAGTAATTTATCCCAACACCAGAACCTCTGGAGATTTGTAGTGACGCAAAAGTAGATATTAAAAAATAAACACCAATAGCCAAGATGTCATTTTTCTAATGACATCATTAGAAAAATGATGGGTTTTTGGGTTTTTACATGATAAAGCATTCAAAGTCAGGTAAAAAAAAGGGTTAAGTTTCAACCTTCTGAATGTTTCACATCCAAGAAACCTTAACATTAAAGTCAATGGAAAACTACATGACAAAAATCATTTTCTTATTCCATGACAAAAAGAGGAAGTTTTCAACCATTTTATCTCAGTTTGGTTTAGGCAAATAAACGATGTGTATAGTGGTTGGTTACATTTGCTTGAGTCTCTTTTTGGGAAGAGAAAAAAGGAAAACGTAGTTCTACTTCAAAGTACTTTTTACTTGAGTTATATTATAAAGCATTGCTACTTCTTGTTTCAGTACAATTTCTAGATACTCTACCCACTGCAGGTAACTTCCCTGATTTATTTTTTAATAAAAATAAACCTGAAAGAAACAAACCTACAGATTATGCAGAAGTAAGCGCTCTCGTTTCTAAACCAGCTTTGTTGTTCTGTTATCTTCCATCTGCTGAGCCTGTTGAGACATTTGGAGACAAACTAAAGCCGTAAACACTACATACGGTCACTGAACTACTTTACCCTGTTCGAATATTTATTAAACATTACCTACTGTAAGCATTAGTTTTACACAGTAAACATTTTATTGTGCTCGTTTCTGTCTGGAATTGATGTTTTTATATGGCAGTGGATGATTATTTTACTTTAAATTATTTTGTTCCGTCTGCTTTTTGTTTTTTAAGGACATGACCAAATCCAAACAGTGATGTTTATTAGAAATTATCCCCAATGAGCAAATAAAACGCTTATAAACTTAACGAAAAACCTATTAAATACCCCTTTAAGTAAGTAAGTCAGGTCTGAAGCTAGCTGAGAGTAATTAGCCTAGAGGCTAACACTAGCATTAGCTAGATGGTTACCCTGCACGTGGACCAGTAGCTCGTCCTATAATTTTACGACTGCTGCTTCACATCCACCCAACACACTCTTTACTTCATCACATCAAAAAAAAAAAAAAAAACACACACACTCATCCGCCAGGCGTTCCAGCCCGGATTTAGTGTCCAGTCTTTACCGTTTTCAGCGCTCGGCCCGCGGGCCACCGGGTGCGCAGGTAGCCGGCTAACAGCGGCTCCATCTCGGCTGTGACAACCACGTCAGCGTTTATTACCCAGAAAACATACCGATTTTGATCTCGTTGGGGTCGAATTTGGGCGGCATGTTGCTGTAGTGGAGGTTGAGCTCAGTTCAGCTTGGTTGGTGAGGGTGTCGGATGAACCCGGCTTCGGGACGACCGATAACTGTTACACCTTCACCACTAAAGGGGCAAAGAAAGGCCGACAGGCGACTGCGATGGAATTTATAGCACCATCAAATCCCGCGAGATATCCAGCTACAGTGACGAGATTATGATCCTCCCCTCAGTTCGTGTTTTCCTTTTTTTTTTTTTAATGAAAACTGTTTTTTGTTCTGGATGAAAAATTTTAAGATCTTTTGTTTAATTTCACACAATAGAAGGGCAATACGAAGCTTTATCTGTTTTACTAATTAGGTACATTGTTAATCACCACGTTTGTAAACATTTCAAAATTCAAACCTTGTCAGGTGTGTAAGAAGTATTCTCCCCCTAACAGATTTCTTCAGTTTTTACTTTTTGCTCCACTTGTTCTAGATCATCAAACTAGTTTAATGTCAGACAAAGAAAAATAGAAAATAGAGTTTTCAAGTAATGATTTTATTAATTATGGGAACAAAGTTATCTAAACCAACCTGTGTCTAAGTAATCACCACCCTCCTTTTAAACCAAGATTTGAAAGGTCAAGATATTTAATAAAATCTGTCATACAAGATGAAGTAGGCTAGATTAAAAATAGCATCTCTAAAATCAACAAGCCTAGAAAAGGAACAAAAGGAAGAAAGCAATGTTCAACACACAAAGAAATGGGAAAAACGGCATCTTTGCAACAATTTTTAACATTTATTTCACCAGGAGAATTCCATTTAGATTAAAAATCTGTTTTACATTAAATCCTGACCAGGACATCAACACAAAGCTTACAGAATATTCAGATAAAAATTAACATAAATAAATTAATTAAGAAAGTCCTTAGTTAAACATTTAGAGACATATACTAGTAACAACAACAATAATAACTAGAAAATTCCTGAAGAAATTTAACCGGGGCACGCCAAAGTTTGCCCGTCAATTGGAACCCAGCATTCTGATGCTAAAAATTAGCATTAATGCTAAAGAAAGCTGCAATGTAGTAAATAACCTGTGGAGAGGCAGAAGCATGTTTACTAAGCTGTACCTGTACCATTCAGTATGTTAAAATTAATGCATGAGCAAAAATGAGCCAAAATGCTAATATTAGCGTGAAGACTAATATTCACGTAGCATATTACATCACTAGCATGTTTTCTGTAATTGACTTACTCCATTCAGTATACTAAACATCGCTAATAAGTAAGAAAATTAGCTAATAGCTATTTAGGGAAAAGGGTAATGCTAATCGCCGTAACCTCGGAAAAACAGGTTACGACTTGTTAGCAACGGATTAAACTGTTTTAACTGCTGAAAAAGGTGGCAGAGGATATGGAAAGTGCGGGAGCTCCTATTTTATCAAATTGATATAGGAATAACAGACTGTTGGCCATTCCAAGGTAAAAACAATAAACAGCTTCCAGTCCGGGGCCCGCTACAGACACCGTGAAAGCTCAAACAAGGTGTTTCAGCAAAGTTGTCCCACTTTTTCCAACTGCATGCGCCCTAATCAGACGCACACAATGCGTGTTTTCTCCCAATCTATGGGAGAACGGTAGGGGAAACGCGAATCCACGTGCCTTCAAGTACAACTTTTTTTTTAAACACATGCGCACTTAGTTTCAAAGAACGTAGCACCAACTAGGCGCAGCGAGAGCATTACACGTTTTCGATGTGTGCCGTTACTGTGTAAACACAGATCGTAATTGGAACGTTTTTGTGTAAACGATCCAACAAAAACGGAACAAAAATTCAGTTTTTGTTGGATCGTTGTCGTGTCAACACCCCCTAAGAGTAAACCATTGTCTTATTTCAAGAAGACTCAGTGAGGGAGGAAAATGGAAGCTTGGAACTAGGTTCGGTTGAAACATAGAGTTGGGTGTCATCTGCATAGCAGTGAAACTGGATGTTATGTTTGCAAAAAATATTACCAAGGGGGAGGAGGTAAATTATAAACAACAAGGGTCCCAGGACAGAGCCCTGGGGAACACCTGAAGAGACGGGAATTGGGCGAGAGGTAAATGATTGTAACTGAACAAACTGAGAGCAGCCTGAGAGATATGAACGAAACCAGTTGAGAGGTGTATTTACAATGCCAAGACAGAATAATCTGTCAATAAGGATGTTATGTGAAATTGTATCAAAAGCCGCAGTCAGATCAAGGAGAAGGAGAATGGATAATAAACCAGTCAGCAGCAAGAAGGAGATCATTTGTAATTTTAAGAAGCACTGTTTCTGTACTGTGGAGTGGACGGAAGCCAGATTGGAATTGTTCATATATAGATTATTGCTGGAAAGATGAGAATGGAGCTGAGCAGCAACTGTCTTTTCTAGAATTTTTTGAAATAAATGGAATATTTGAGGTAGGGCAAAAATTATTGAGTTCTTTGGGATCTAAACCAGGTTTCTTAAGTATTGGGGTTATTGCTGCAGTTTTGAGAGCCAAGGGAACAACAGCAGTAGTAAGGGAAGAATGCACAATGTTAGTGATGAGAGGGGACCGAGAGGGGAGGGTGGCTTTAACAAGAACAGTGGGAAGAGGATCTAAATGGCAGGTTGAAGAATTAAATTTTTGAATTAATTTGGTGACATCATCAACAGAAGGGAGGCTGAAGACCGAGAATGAATAGGAACAACTGAAACTGGGACAGATGATATTAAGGCAAGACTGGGTATAAGTTCCTGATGGATAATTTCTATCTTAGAAGTAAAAAATGATACCAAAGTGTTACAAAAATCAGAGGTATACAGGTGGGGAGGAAGGGAATCTAATGGTCTGGTAGTGGTTGCAAGTACGGAAAATAAAATTTTGGAGTTGTCCTTGTTAGAACTGATTAAAGTGGAATAATATGTTGATTTGGCTAAAGAAATTGCATCTTTGTATAAAAGAATGTGACTGGAATACATGTCTTTGTGAACCGTGAGACCAGTTTTTTGGTACAGTCTTTCAAGGCGACATCCTTTTGTTTTTAACTGTTGAAGAGTGGAATTAAACCAAGGTGCAGTATGAGTAAAAGATGGATGGATGGATGGATGGATGGATGGATGGATGGATGGATGGATGGATGGATGGATGGATGGATGAGTGTGTCTGCTATTCAACAGGATTTAAACTGGTCGGAGTTAGAACCAGCCAGTCAGCAGCTCTTGCAGCCTGTTCATGTAGGCTGAGTTTCCTGGATGCTGATTGGTCGGCTTGTCTGGTTTCCAGCTGTTTCCTGCGCTGTGTGGGCCGCCTGCCTCCCCTGCAGCAGGTAGCGACCCGCCGGGTCGGTTCCGTCCCGCTCCGGGCCTCCCGTCCTCCTGTCCTGTTTGAGTCAGAGCCGCTACAGGAATAGCTCCAGAACAGGAGAGGGAGTAAGTGGGTGAGAAGCAGAGATCAGCGCTGTTTAATATGCATGATGAAAATGTGTGAGGACGGTCAGAATCTCACAACTCCTACTCTGTGTTTTCAGAAAGCCTCAGCTTTCAAATATCACAGCTGAATAATCTGTTTGATGCAGATCTGTAAGCTGATTTCAGGGTTATGTGACCTTTGGTGAGGAAAGAGCTCAGCGCTAAGCCTCGGATTGGTTTGTTCAGAAAGAAATGCTGATAAAAACCATAAAGCAACAGCAAACAGGATGAGCTGTTTCATCTCTGCAGACAGAGAGAGAGAGACAGAGAGGGAGGGAGAGAAAGAGAGAGAGAGAGAGAGAGGGAGAGCTGCATGTTGGAGTTGACAGGAACTGGGCCGAACAATTTTAGTGTCTGACCTGCAGGGAGGATCCAGGTTACAAACTGGTTCAGCTCAGAAAACACGAGGAAGTCTCATGATGGAGATGGAGAGCCTGGAATGTTGTGGTTCATCATCGCTCCCAGTTCCAGGAGCAAACTGGATTTTCAGAGGAAAAACTTCAATAATCCAACAGCAAAGATTAAAAAGGGAACATGGGCCTGAAAAAAAATCACAGTACAAACCTTTAATCTGAGAACATTTATTAGGAGAGTTTAAATGAGGCTCATTAGGAAGAAAAGCCCACAGCATCACAGATCCACCACCATACGTTATAGTTTCCACCTGGAGTCTCCACAGGTCTAGTCAAAGTCCCTGGAGAGCTCTGCATGTTTGATGGTATCAACCTATTCCCAAACAGCAGGTTGGCATGTTGATGAAACCTCCTGGTTGTCATGGAAAAGCTTCCAATAACACAAAAAAGTTTCTATTCTTAGTCACGTTTTTGTAAAAATAATTGCTAAAGAATCTGAAAAGACGTTAAAAGTCGCTACATTAGCATCAGAGGGAGAGAGAGGGACAGACAGAGACCTGACCTCTGACCCCGTCACCCCTTCAGGTAGCCACGCCCCCAGCGTCTGCTGGCTCCACCCACTTTAGTGGGCGTGTCTGAAAGAGATGAGGTGATCCAACTTAAATATATTTCATTAGTCAAAGTTCATCCAAGTTAATTTATAAATGTTTAAGTTGCCAACTAAATAAAAACTTCACTTAATTCCTTTGTGGTAAATTAAAATAACCTTTTTAAGTTGGTGCTCCATTCTTTTCTTTTTTAGTGTAGAAAGCATTTTTTCTACCTAAACCTTTTCAGGTTTATGATGAACTGACTAGGAAAAACTGAAATCTGTATAGTAATAAGTTTTAATGTAAAATATTGAGTTGTGAGGAGAAGAACAACGTAAACATCAGGATGTTTTCTGTTGTAAGTCACAGCAGCAGGAGGATTTAATGATTTCACTTTGATCTGAATTATTTCAGATGAAGCCACATATCGACTCAGAATCCTGACATTATTTCTGGATTTATACTGAGTTTCACCAGCTTTTATTTACTTTATTCACATATAAAGTTTTAGTTTTTTACTGGTCAATAAAAGGTGCATTGAGTGAGTTTGACTGAACATAAAGCTGTTAGATAAAGAGCAGCATTCTTCTGCAGACATGAATGTTTTTAAGGTCACTATGAATATAGACTAAAACGTTAAGATCGTTTGTTGTGAGGATGAATGAAGTGAAGAACGAGCGATGAACACATGAATGAATCCAGTTTTACACACAGAGCTGAATGACTCCAATCAGGATTTTATTTTAAAGGAATTGGAGCAAAGATGGCCGACGGGAATCTGATTCAAAGACGGGTTGTCCTCCTGGACTGGAAGCTGTTAGTGGAGACAGAGAGGGGTGTGTGTGTGTGTGTGTGTGTGTGTGTGTGTGTGTGTGTGTGTGTGGAGGGGGGATTGTTTCTGCTGATTGGAGAATCTGAGGAAAAAGGTCAAGTAGCGACGGAGAGGAAATCCAATCAGTCCTGCAGACCTGAACAGATGAGCCGTCAAGCTGAGCGTGCCGCCGATCTGTCTCTGTGGGGACAGAGGGGACATCATGGGACAAAGGGGAGAGGAGACAGAGACATCATGGGCAGGAAGGCACATTGGGGGACAGGAGGACGGTCTGGGTTATTACTGAATTCACTGAAACTTTAAATACTTTTTTTCTCTGTTTAAAAGTTTTTATCAGCCAAATGTTCAGACACAAAAATATTCACACCTTTAAAACTTTCAACATGTCCTTCTGAACCACTTCTTGTTGATCCTCGAGGGTTGCAGTCAGAGGACAACATGGTGAGTTTATGTAGGACATAATTGTCTTGCTGTGAAGGACAGGTGTCCCACAGGTGTCTCTGCTCATTGTAATCAGCGCTGGGTCATCAAAGGTCCTCTGCTGAGGCGGACGGCGCCCTGAGTAGCTGATTGGTCTGTTTAAAGCTGCAGCATCTCTGTCGGGGTCTCTGATTGGCCGAGTGATAAAGCTGATTTAAAATGAGGATGATGAACGGAGAGGAAGAAAGGTTCTGGGGTTTTATCAGAACAACTCTTCACATAGGAAGAGACACAGGAAGACACCTGGAGACACCTGGAGACACAGGAAGACACCTGGAGACACCTGGAGACACAGGAAGACCCCTGGAGACACTTGAAGACCCCTGGAGACACTTGAAGACCCCTGGAGACACTTGAAGACCCCTGGAGACACATGGAGACACCTGGAGACACAGGAAGACACCTGGAGACACAGGAAGACACCTGGAGACACATGGAGACACAGGAAGACACCTGGAGACACCTGGACACAACGGAAGACACCTAGAGACACAGGAAGACACCTGAAGACACCTGGAGACACAGGGAGACAACTGGAGACACAGGGAGACATCTGGAGACACAGGAAGACACATGGAGACACAGGAAGACACCTGAAGACACAGGAAGACACCTGAAGACACCTGAAGACACAGGACGAAACGTGGAGACACAGGAAGACACCTGGGGACACAGGAAGACACCTGGAGACAAAGGACTATACGTGGAGACACAGGAAGACACCTGAAGACAAAGGAAGACACCTGGAGACACAGGAAGACACGTGGAGACACAGGAAGACACCTGGAGACA